CCTTCCCAACCCCAGCGACAGCTTCAGCTTCAGTAATGACTCGGGATATCTCCGAAGCCCATGTACTCGCCAGTATGAGCCTCCGTACCGGTCGCTTCTGACGACCACATCATAGGCCGCATCGTCGGGGACGAAAGTACGTAGTTTATAATACTTTCGCGGTTTACATTCGACCACCCATCTGTGACCAGCGTCAATCGTTTTTGGCGTTGGAGAAGTGCAGCCAATCGAGTTTTCTCAGTCGTGTAGACTTGATCCAGAAGGGTAGTCGCAAGACTCTGGCGTGTTGGCAGCTTCATACTGGGGCGAAATCGAGTGAGAGCACGACGCATATCAGCGTTTTCAATGACGCGAAAAGGTATCCCAGACGTGTAGAAAGCTCGAGCGATATCCAGATGCATCTCCTTCTCTTCGGTCTTGTTTACGTCGTACTTGGTGGGCGTTTGACGTGCCGAGCCACTGTAGCTTGTGCGTCGAGCCTTCGTTGGAGAAACGAAGTCGGCTGTACTTCTTAAGTGCGCTTTGCGCTTCTTTTCAGCAACCACTTCGCCATATTTAGTCTTGGTTTGGGCTGATGCCTCGCCGCAGTACTTGATGTGTGGGTACAGGTGTCGCCCAGGCTGAGCATTCATGATCACCTCATTACAGTGCTTGCAGTATACGTCAGGATGCTGCTTCGTCTCGCTCTTGGATCGACTGACAGCAAATTCAGCCCAAATGGGCTCCTCCTTGCGGCCCATTGAGGTGTCTTCAATCGTAGGGGCTTGCGAGGGTGGTTGGGAGAGCGCTTGTGCGGCTGGATAACGTTTTAGCTGTGGGCTACTAGCACCGCGCTATAGCTTTGACATGTAGTGGTTAGTACTACTAACTTAGTAGGCATCAAGCCTCAGGAGACTCCGGTGGACCGCTCCATTAAGCGGAGCACTTAAAACTGCTTGCTTCAAGGAGGTCTTGCGATCAGGTTGAAGCGATCAGCATCAGCGGTTGCTGCGGAAATACCGCCTGAGCAAGAAAATGTGAAATTACAAAAACAGCAACCACGCATCAAGTATTTAACGGTATTTAACCAAAGTAGGGAATTTAACGTACTTAAAGTTAGTAACTCTAGAAAAAATCGTAACAGCTCTAGCCACACAACGTCCCAGTGGGACGAGAAGGGGTGTCAGCCCTACAGGTCATCCCAATATCCCGCAAACTAGATCGCATGATTGGTCCATCCCTCTTTGGGACGATATAAGACTGAGCCTAAGC